CTGTGCCTCCTTCACCTGTGCCTCCTCCACCTGTTGCTCTCATTCCTGCTCCTCCTATTCCTGCCGCTCCTGAACTGAATGTTCCTGCTGCCCCTATAACTGCACCTATAGATCCCAACACTGGGTACCAAATTCCTCCAAACTCTCTTCCTTTAGAAGTTCCTCCGCTCTGAGCTTGTCCACTTGTTGTTGCCTCATTTTCTTTTGCATCATCTTCTCCTTTTCCGTCTATGTTTACAGATTTTTCTGCTACTTGTAAAACTACAAGGGATGATCCAAAGAAAGCATTGGATCCTGATCTATCTTTGTTATCTGTTAATTTGATCCATGCATTTACAGAAATACACTTGCCGTATCCTTCTTTTGTTTTCTTCGCTGTATTGTCCAATGTGGTTAACAGCTCCTGTAACTGAAGCTCGATGCTTCTGCGGCACTGGAAATGATACAGAATGACCAGAAATGATTTCTTCAGGATTGAGTCGGTGACTATTAATGTTTAATTCATCCAACACACATTTATCCCCATTAAAGTAAAACATTATTTTGGCTGCATAGACATTTATTTGAAGATTAATCTGTTAGGCAGATAAATTTAAAAATAAAAATACAATTCTGTGAAAAAGTTCCATATATTTTTTGTTGTCCTTAAAAAAAAAAAAAAACGTATTTAGTATTCAATTCCTTACACATAGAGTTGTTTCAAACCTTTATTTCTTGTGATTTCTATCACAATGGCTTACAGATAATTGGATCCCTAAATTTAAGGTCTTTTCAGCCAATGCTAATTAGCCTAGCTCTAAATAATTTTGCCCAAAACATTTTTCAAGCATTTCTATTTTTTTTCTTTTAGGGTATTGAAATTGCTTTCTTGTTGAAAAACATATAATAAAAAACAAACCCCAGCTATACCCACCATCAGAAATGAACAGGACTGAAAAAAGTTACAAAAAACTATTAGAAAAATGATCAAATAGAGAAAGTTTTTATCAATCCTAATAATCCTTAACATGAAAAAAAGAAGTTTAAATTGATGTAATGCAGTGAGTAAAATTGTAATTTGACTTTTCATTCATTGTATGAAAATACCCTTTTAAACTATATAGAGATGATATTTGAATGTGCAATGCAGCAATTGGTCATTCTGTTTCTAGTCAGCTGACTATATCATTTACTTGTTCTTCTGTTTAAATGTAGATTATTATTACAATATTGCTATCACAATAGTGTATTAAATCATAGCAGTTAGTTCTGAAAAAGCCTGAGCTGTACAGGGTGTAAAGGGCTCATATCACTGTTTAATATAACTAGCAGCAAATATCTTGTGAAAACATATTACATTATTTTGTAAAAAAAAATGTATTTTAGCAATTTAGAAGCTCGGGAATAACGGATCCTATAGAGTTTGCTAGCATAATTAATAGCATAACTTATTTGGATTCTTTGACATGATGAAAAGCTAATGACTTAATCATTGTTACCAGGTTAAATTTAAAAATATACAGAGGTAACTATAAGGGAATATTCATCAATTCCTTTTTGTATTGTTAATAAATCTCTGCTTATTACCTGAGTAGATGTTATATTTGGTTGGAGGACAATGCGAACCAAGAGTGGTTTACTTCTATCTTGACTCCACTCAAAGGACTGGATCTCCTCTCTTAACACCTTAGCGACCACACTTTCTGGAAACCGCAAGGCCATTCCGACTCCAAGTACAGGGAGTGAAATCGATTCAAACCCTTGCCTCTTACAGGATGTTAGGATGCTGTTGATGCCCAATCTGAGAACCTTTGAGTCAACAATAAACATTTAAAAAGACAAAAATTAAAACATACAGATTGTATCACTTCAATGCCTCTATATAACACAATGTGAGATAAACTATTGTTTTACCTGAACTGCTGTTCCATCGTCATCATCATCCCATGGAATAAGGTTGAGGAAGAACACAGCACCAGAGGGAAGTCTGGGCAGTCCCTTCAACAGCACTGAGTCTCCAGGCACTGATTCATTTCCTGCTGTGTTTCTGAACCTTGACATCAGCTGTGGTCCAACTATTTCATTCAAAGTTCTTCCCAAACCTGAAGAAAGAGGATTATGGCCAACCATAGGAGAAACCACAGCATCAACCTAGAAGGGAAAGAATACAGAGATCTGGGTCTTTGTTATTAACTGATACCATTTGGATATTTTCTTCCCATCAGGTGGTATAAAGATTTGTATTATTATATGACTCTTCTAAACACACACACACAAGAATATATATATATATATTTCTTACCTGTTGGGTCTCAATAGTCCCCATGACAACCTCAACATAAACACTATCTCCAGCAACCTCAGCAACGCCTTCATCACTTGTTCTCACTGTGTCTTCTTCAGCAGGGTCAATCTGGAACCTTCCACTACTGAATGAGCGGCATCCATGGCTTATTCCTTGGAAAAGGTTGTCACACACTTCCAACATGCCCTTCACGACATGGTTTCTGTTATCTATCAGAATGATCCTGCTCACCATTCGCCCTCCCTGACTGCTGTACTGCCTCACAGCATTAACAATAGCCTCAGTGCAAATACTGAGAGGAACACCAAATGGCCCTGAGCTGTAAAAGGGCATGGTTAAAGATTTGGACCTAAAGGCTTCTGATAGGAATGAAGCTCCATTGGAATGGTCTAAATCATCCACTGGAATAGTCATCAAGGTGTCTGTATCCAGTCTAGTGATATCACCTAAACACACCATCATCTGGAGTCCATTTTTAAGGTTATAAGCTACAGCTGGGTCTCCTTTATTACTATTTATAAATGGCATTTTTTGACTTAACCCTGAATCATTGATACCAGATTGTCTGTGTTCCACCGGGTCCATGGTCTGGCATGCTTTATCATTGTTATTAGATCTCTTATGCTGGGATGTCAAAACCTCATGATTGTTATCTGCCTTAGATTTCCAATATCTCTTGACCAAATTCCTAGTCTCTTCTGGGTTGATACGCTGAAGCCCCAGCATAGTGAGAACTATTATCTTAGCTATGAGTCCTTTAATGTCTTGTTCACTGTTTTCACCTGTTGGTGGAGCAGGTGAGATGGAAAATGGCGTTGAATGCTGTTTTGAAGAGAAAAAAATTAAAATGGTTACTTCTTTAGTTTCAGTTTCACTCCCACTCCATATTCCCCACCCCCCAGCAATGCAAAGTTCTTACTACATTATTACATTCTGGTGTAGACATGAACTGACCTGTTGTATTGCAGTCAGTGTCACATTGGAAGGTGAGGAGGCTGCTTTTAAACTGTTCTGGACGGTGAAAGTGAGGCTGCAGCTATCTGTGAGATTCACAGTGTGCTTTGCTTTTCTCAGGACTGCTTGCTGATCTAAACAATAATGTGCAACAGTAGGTTTTGCAAATTACCCAGATAAATATAATGTAACACAGCAAAATCAGCAGGTGGAAGAATAACGTTTTTTTTTTTTTACATTAATATTCCTCCTATGTAAACACATTTGCAAAAGTCAAATACAGTTAGAGATCGAGACACAAGTAAATGTTGCAGCATTTAAAAACAAACTAATAATTACCAACCCTCAGAGTTATATAATCTGTCATATTTGATGTTTGTTTTATACAACTAAATATTTTGAGTCATATTAGGAACTACATGAATATTAAATAAAGTATGTTTGAAAATGTTCACACATTCCACATTTTAAAGATTATACATTCACCATTACTTTTGAAAAGAAAATATATTTTTACCTTGACAATTCAGAATTTCCTGATCAAATCAAACAAAAATGTATCACAGGATTTATTGAGCACTCTGTGCACTTCAAATGTTCTTAAATAAACATGTTCATAACATTCTTTTCTTATTAAGTCATCGGTATCTTAGATGTAATCAAAACATTTTACTGCCTACCTTTTTTGTTTCGGAAAGCGAAACTGTAAACATATTTAGATTCCCTCTTCAGTGATTCACAGCTTCCGCCACTTGATGTCCAAGTATGAAAATAGTTTTCTATTTCCTTCTCCTGATCTGGGTGAAGGTTGTAGCACTTAAAGAAAACAGGGTAAGTGCTACTATTACCCATTATCTATATACGGTAAAAGAAACCTAGAACGAAAAAACTAAATGGTGTCCTTAAGATCAAGCAAGAAAAACGCTTTACAAATCAGCTGCACAAACATTATGTAAGTAACAACGCCCATTACATTAGAGAGAACCAGGAAGTTCTTTTGTTCAGTGACATGCAACCAATCAGAAATCAGAGTTTCTTTGTGAGGAGCCCTGATCCCTTCTTCATTAAGATGGAAGTTTGACTGCGCAGTAACATGAAATTATTTACTTTTTAGAATAAAATAAAGGAATTTTAATACAACTGTTAAAAGTCCGTCCGTTTGTTTAGTACCACATTACCCATGATGCATATGTTCATTTTGTAGTTCTAATTTCACATAGCTGAACAAGTTGTGTTTTCCATGCTTCTGGGTGGTTCGGTGGCACAAAATAGCATCCACCATTAATCCTTCTTTAACCCAGTGTGTATGAAACCTGTGTGCGTTCTTTACGATGTAAGTATACATTTTAAGTCCGATATTGGGTTTTTCTGTCAGTTATTATCCCAGGAGGTTAAATTGTCCTTTAGTTTCTCTGGTTACTGACAATGCAAGAGTATACTTACAATAACTCAAGTTCTTTGTTACACTTTGCTAGATATATTGCCATTTTATTAGTAAATGAGGGCATTGCCGTTTATTTCATATTTTCCAATAGTTCTGTAAGTTAAATGTTTATTACGTTTGACCAATAATGCATCTGTGATGTTATCGAGCCCTCCAGTGGATTTTTTTCGTATTACAAGCCAATTTCATCCTGTATCTATATGCACCCGTTTTGCCTGCATGGCTATAAATATGCATCTTTATTGTTTATTTTGTTTCAGATAACCACACATCCATATACATATCCCTAAGAAACCAAATATAAACCTCATCATCTGTACCATCATCTCCAATGTACCTGCTTTTATTCCATTAATAAACCTTCTGAGCTGCACCGATGGAGTTGACATATTCCTTCTGACCAAGGAAGATTCAACTGATGAGATATCTGGAATTAGTGCAATTTAAACGTAAACAGTCTTCTACAAGTGGTCCTTCGAGCTGGATCTCATTGGTCGAATCAACAACATAATAGAGCAGAATCCCTTCCTGCATTCCTACCACAGTCTAGCAGTATGGATATACACAGCAGTCACACCAGGAATCAGTTGAACATCCTGGCACCAGCAAGGTAGGACAAAAGAACACTTGCGAACCTACTAAGACCAGTAGAACCTGCTGCATCCTTATCATTGCTAAAGGCAAGCCCCATGGTACAGACAGCACCATGGCCAGTTCCACAGCCAGATGTACTTGAAGCACCTCAGAATACGTTTCAGCCACCACCTATGTCCCAGCCTCAGATAGACACGGCCTTCCAGCCAGTAGGCCAGTCTTTACCATTACCTGTTCAACAGCTGAGAGGCCCTCCGGTTTATCCAGGAATCCAGCCAGCATCGTTACCAGCTCCACCTCCTAGAGTGAGACATGTGATACAGCCTGCTCTACAACCTGACATCCACGTATTACAATCTAAGCAGCTTGGGAAGCTCGAAACACATCAAACTGAGTCTTTATTCAGTCAGAGATACCAACATCCGCAGTTACCAAGCAGCACCAACCAGGTGCACTCTGCAGCATCATACAACCTTGCTGCGGCCTCTGCTACGCCTCTGTATCAGCAACCACAGGGAGCGGCAGCACAGCAGAACTACATCTAGCATTATGCTGCTCCACCTATTGATTTTCCCAGCCATTACTCTGCTGCTTATCCAACACCTCCAGATGCATACCAAGCAACAGCCCCACTACCTTTGACAGAAGAAGTCAACCAGCCAAACCTGATGGAGATGATTGTGGAATCATTATACGGCATCTCAAAGTCTAGACTGGTCGCATTCAAATAGGGCCGAGAGAGTGAATTTGCACTTCTGAAGAAAGGATTGGACAGCCTGCTAGGGCCTCATGCACACCTCACAGAGGAATATAAATATCACATCCTGCTGGATCATTTAGAGCATCCATGTGCTCTACAAGTTGCTAGGTGCTATATTCATGACCGCACTTCCTACACTAGTGAAATTTGAGCATTAGAACAGAGATATGAACAGCCTCGACAGTTAATCCAGAGTGAACTCAGTGCTGTCCTTAACTGCTCTCCTGTTAAGGTTGGTGACCCTCAAGCCTTTGAAGATTTCTCCCTGGCAGTGTCTAGCCTTGTAGGTCTCCTCAGTACCATGGATGATGTAGCAGCCAGTGAGCTCCACTGTGGTTCACATGTAGACTGGTTACTCACTAAACTCCCTCCTAGCTAGAGAGAGAGTTTCATCGAGTACTGTATCACACGTGGCATAATACGCGCTGGGAGCAGCCGCACATACAACATGTATGACCTGTCTGAATGGCTCGAACGCAAGTCAGAAGTTCTTCAGCTATCCAGGCAAGCCACTCAGCC